AAGAAAACAGCACTGTGCAAATGTTTTAAACATTCTTTGGAGGGGAGACAAGGCATCACTGATGAAGAGAGGTCAGGACAAGCAGTAACAAGCAGAACTGATGAAAATATTGCAAAAATTTGTCGAATTGTCCACCAAAATTGTCGGCTGATTGCACGAAACACAGTAGACCAAATAAGCATCAATAGAGAAACAGGAAAATCTTAACTGAAAATCTTGGTATGAGAAAGGTGTGTGCAAAAAAGGTCCCAAGGGAGCTCTTGCATCACGACAATGCACCGGCCCACACAGCACTGTCTGTGAGGGAATTTTTAGCCAGTAAACAAATAACTGTGTTGGAACATCCTTCCTACTCCTGATTTGGCCCCATGACTTTTCTCTTTACCTTGATTGAAAGGAAGGTATTTTGATGACATTCGGGGCATCAAGGGTAGCATGATGACAGCTCTGATGGCCATTCCAGAAAAAAAGTTCCAAAATTGCTTTGATGGGTGAACTTGGTGCTGCTTCTCAAGGGTAGTACTTTGAAAGTGACTGTAGTGATACTAATGAGATATGTAACACTTTTTCTAGGATGAATTTGCAAACTTAATTGTCAGACCTCATAGGTTAGTTGGATGTACCATTTTGGAGTTCAGATATGAGGCCCTTTTTTCATCTTTTTCTGTATCCACACTGCAATGTGGTTTTTCAGTTCCTCCCTTGAGAGGCAGAGTGAACTTTCCTGGCCCTTGACTGCAGTTTCTACTCTTTTCTACAAAACCCCTAAATACAACAATTATCATAATACTATAAGAAAGGGATTGGCAGTAGCAGGAAACTGCCAGGGGATGGGGGATGGGATTGGCAATTGAGGGAAACTGCCAGGGGAGAGAGAGGCACACCTCATCAACAAGGGTAACTGCATAATGAACATTTGTATACCTAACCTGAATTGCACCCCACATCTTTTAAAAAAAAAACCCTAAATACCTCTTGATCCCATCCCCCGCCTTGCCATGGTCTGAATGTTTGTGCCACTCCACAATTCAAATGATATGTTATCATATGAAATCATAACCCCCAAGGTGACGATATTAGGAGGTAGGGCTTTTGGAAGGTGATTAAGTCATGAAGGCTTAGTGCCCTTATGAAAGAGGTTCCAGAGAGCCAGTTCATCCCTTCCACCATGTGAGGACACGGAAAGAAGGTATTGCCTATGAACCAGAAAGTGAGCCCTCACCACACACCATATCTGCTGGCACCTTGATCTTTGACTTCCTATCCTCCAGAACTGTCAGAAATAAATTTCTGTTGTTTATAAGTTACCCTGTTTATGGTATTTTGATGTAGTCATAGCAGACTAAAATACCGTTCCAGCCGTATCCACCTTTTCTCTTTCCTCCCAGACATGGTTCAGACTCCTTCAGGTTTGCTGTCTTCGTGATAAGGCTTTTCAAATGCAGTTCTTCAAGTACAGTTCCTGGAGTATACATCCTCTCCATCTTCAGACCTATGAAACCAAAGAGATAAGTTATCTATCTCCATGCCTAATATACAGTGGTGGGACAGGTGTAGTATAATCACAATAGATATTCCTTTTTAAAAGGGGGAAATGAGAGACACAACACAGTCACTGGTCCATAGAAATTCTGAAATCCAACTGGGCAAATGCTAGAAATTCCTTGATTAGGTCTTAAAACCTGGAAATGACTCTTCATAGAACTTCATTCTGCCCTCTGAACTCTTGGTTTCACCCTCTGAATCATATTCCTTTTTATTTAATTATTTATTTATTTATTTTTTTTGAGTTGGAGTCTTAACTCACTCTTGTCATCCAGGCTGGAGTGCGGCAGCATGCTCACGGCCACCACAGCCTCGACCTGCTGGGCTTAGGTGATCCTTCTGCCTAGTCTTCCAAGAAGTTGGAATTACAGATGCATGCCACCATGACTGGCTAGTTTTTGTGTGTGTGTGTGTGATTTATTGTAGAGACGAGGTCTCACCAAGTTGCCCAGGCTGGTCTAACCCCCGGGCTCAGGCAATCCTCTCGCCTCGGCCTCCCAAAGTGCTGGGATTATAGGCTGAGCCTATAATAAAGGGTAGTGCTTGTTTGCAGTGGAGTAGTTTTCACACCCTTCTTGCCAGTAGAATTTTGTGGGTCAAATGCCCTCCTTTCACTTAGTTTTATCTTTATCCCTTCAGTTTCATTTGGTAGTATTTTTGCTTTCATAAATCTCTCAAAACTATGGGTCACATGTGACTCTCATTGCAACTGTAACCCATTAGATGGAAGCTACTTTCACAAATGTTTTCTGGATAAGCCCTTATGATTTATTTTCTATGTTTTTGGGTTTAGTTTTGTTCTTTTCTAATTTCTTAAGATGGAGATTTTTATAATTGATTTTTAGCCTTTCTTTTTCTTGTGTGCATTTAAAGTTATAAAATTTCCCCCTAGGCATGGTTTAGGCTTTAATCTCATATGTTTTGATAAGTTATGTTTTCATTTTTGTTAATTTCAGAGTATTTCTTTTTTTTTTTTTTTTTTTTTGAGTTGGAGTCTCACTCTGTTGCCCAGACTGGAGTGCAGTGGCTGCTCTGGGCCACCGCAGCCTTGACCTGCTGGGCTCCAGTGATCCTTCCGCCTCAGCCTTCCAAGTAGCTGGAACTACAGGCACGTGCTACCATGCCCGGCTAATTTTTTGATTTATAGTAGAGATGAGATCTCACCACGTTGCCCAGGCGGGTCTCGCCACGTTGCCTACGGGCTCAGGCAATCCACTCACCTCAGCCTCCCAAGGCGTGGGATTACAGGCTGAGCCACTGAGCCCAGCTCAGAGTATTTCTAATTTCCATTATTTCTTTTTTGAGTCATAGGTTATTTATAAGAGTATTTTGGAATTTTTGCCACAATTGTAGCTTAATTCTGCTGTAGCCAGAAAATAGAGAACATAATCTATATGTTTTTAATTCTTTGAAATTGTTGAGATTTGAACATGTTCAAATCTTATATATATTTTCTGATATTTTTGTCTGCTATTCTATCGATTTTGGAGAGATATTTGTTAAAGTATCCCAATTTGTTGTGGATTCATCTATTTTTCTTTTTATTTGTGCAAACATTTTATTTACATATTTTAAACCTATATTATTAGGTGCATATACATTTGGAATTGTTATGTCTTGCTGGTGGTTTCTCCCTTTTATTATTATTATGGTAAAATATCCTTCTTTATCTCTATTCATGTTTTTTGCTTTTGAGTCTATTTTTTAAAAATTTTATTTCTCAGAGCCAAAACATACACATTATTGAGTTTAATTTGATGCTTTTATAACTTCATTGGCTTTCCTTTGGTTAGTGCTTGCATGATGTGTCATTTTCTCATCCTTTTACTTTCACATTCTCTGCATCTTTATATTTAGAGTCTGTCTCTTGTAAGCATTGTAGAGTTGGACTTTGTGTTTTTAGTAAGTCTAATAATTTGTTTTTTAATTGATATATTGATAGATTTATAATTATTGTAATTACTGGTATATTTGGGCTTAAAATTTACCTACCACCTTGTTATTTTTTAAATTCACTTGCTAAATGTTTATTTCCCTAAATTTCTCTTAAAATTATTTTCTGTATTTTTCATTTGTATTTTTTCTATATTTAACTTTCGACTGACTTTTCTTCCAGCTCTCTAGTTCTCTCTTCAGCTATGTCTAATCTACTTTGAAAGTCATGTGTTGACTTCTGTTTATTTATTTAGAAAGGTTAGTTCTTTCTTTGATTTTCTTTTTGATATGGTATAACTTATGTACAGTAATCCTAAGTGTTTCTTTAGCCTGATGAATATTACGCACACATGCATATCTGTATCTATATTTATCTACATATCCAAATAATTATCACCCAGATCAAGATGTTTTTATTCCTAACACTCCAAAGTCTCCTTCATGTTCCTTGTATCTGATATTTCCTTCAAAGATAACCAAATTTTTAATCTTTATCAGCATAGATTAGTTTTGTTTGTATTTGAAGTTTCTGTAAATGTTTACTCTTTTGTATATGAATTTACTCAAAATTATAGCTGAGATTTATCCAGGCTGTTCTCTGCAGTGGTAGTTTTTTAAAATTGTTATGTAACAATTCATTATATGAATGCACCACATTTTATTTATTCATTCTACTGTTGATGGACATTTGAATTATTTTCACAATAGCATTATCTTGTAACTTTTTTTTCTTGGTGCTGTGTCCAGTATGTCTGGTAACTTTTTTTTTTTTTTTTTTGAGTTGGAGTCTCACTCTGTTACCCAGGCTGGAGTGCAGTGGCACATTTATGGCCATCCCAGCATCGACTTGCTGTGCTCCGATGATCCTTCCGCCTCAGCCTTCCAAGTAGCTGGAACTACAGGTGCGTGCTACCACGGCCGGCTATTTATTTATTTATTTATTTATTTATTGTAGAGATGAGGTCTTGCCAAGTTACCTGAGCTGGTCTCGAACCCATGGACTCAGGGAATCCACTTGCCTCTGTCTCCCAAAATGCTGGGATTACAGGCTGAGCCACAGAGCCTAGCCAGATGGTAACTTTTGACTGAATGGTGGACATTGTGATAATAAATTGTTGTGACTCTGAATGATGTTATCTTCCTCTAGAGAAGGTTTACTTTTGCTTATGACAGGCAGTTAGATTAGGGACACATTGTTTTAATCCAAGCAGTAGTGTGCTCACTTGTGATTTTCAGTCTTTATAAGGCCAAGTCTTTTTGGATCACCTTTATTCACATGTGATACTCCTTGGTGCACTCTAAACTCCAATTTTCTCACAGTAGAGTGAGTGCCCAAAGCTCTGCTTGGCTTTTGAGACACTTGACTTTTGCTTTCTCCAGGGTCTGTCAGCCTCTGGGTCATTGTTTGCAAATCATCAATCATTTTGAAGAATTAAGTACTGCAGTGTTGGGTTCACTTTCATGCATTTTCCTTATTCCTTAAGATCCTCAGCTGATTTGATAGTCTTTTTTTTTGTCCTATAATGTGCATTTTATTCCATATCATTATACAATGTTTACACATAGGCATAACTCTTAAGAAAATGTTCTTTCCTTCCCAGTCATACGTAGTGCCTAAACCTTTCACCTTAACATGGAGAACTGAAAGAGTGGGAGCCCACATGGAATGCCATCCTACAGAGCTGTCACGAGCCGCGAGTGTGCCAGTCGGGAAGGAATGAAGTCTTACAAGAGCAGCGTGGCTTACAGACCCTTGGCTTGAGTGAATTCTGAAATGTGGAATCCACAGTCTCATCTCGTAGGAAAACTCAAGACAAAATAAATTAGTGTTGGACAGAGTTCTAAATTGTATATTATGGAACAAAGAACACAGGGGATCTTTTGTTTGAAGTAGCACCAATCCACACCTGACTGTGTTTCCAATGTTCATCTTCCTGTTGACTCTACTATTGGCACTCTGAGTGGAAATCTTTCTGCTTTAGTGAGGATTCCTACACGGACTAAGCAGACAGTGTTGCTAAACTCTATACAATGTGTGGCCATGTCAACCTGGGAAATGGCACATTTAAACCATTATCGCCCAGACACAGGCTTGCCTTTTTGCGTGTGTTTTCCCTACCCCCACCCCAGCTGGTATTTTGTGAGTGTTTCTGTGACAGTGGTAAAAGTAAATAAAAATGCATTTATGGGGTAAGCAGGTGTTTAAAAACAAAACAACAAGAACAAAATGAGCGAATGTGGCCACTGCTAAGGAGGTGTTCACATGTTGTTTGACTCCAGTAAAGTCTGATCCAGCATCTGGTGCATGCTAAGGTTTTCTTCTTTGGCATGAGCCACTTCCTCTTCTAAGTCATCAATGCTTTTCTCCAATTTAGTTACTGACCTCTCAGCAAACTCAGTCCGAGTCTCAGCCTCCTTCTACTTGTCAGAGAGGACCTTGATCCCCTCCTCCTACTTGTCCTCCTTCTGCAAGTACTTATCCTTGGCAGCCATTAATGCCTTCAAGGTCTGATCCATTATTCTTAATTGTTCTTCCAGCTATCAAACTTGGCCTTCTGAGAGCTCAGCCAGCTCCTCTGCACGCTCCAGGTCACCTCAATGATGACCAGTTTCCAGGCCACCTCTTCATACTTAAGATTGGCATCTTCAGCAATGTGCTTGGCTGCTTTCAGCTGGATCTCCTGAATTTCTATTTTTTCTTCATCCTTTTGGGCTCGGCTTTCAATGACTTTCATGCCTCTCTCACTCTCATCTGTGGCCTTCTCGGCCTCCTCCAGCTTCTGCAGAGCTGTAGCCAGACGCTCCTGGGCACGATCCAACTCTTCCTCAACCAGCTGGATGCATCTGTTCAGGGAAGCTACATCAGATTCAGCGTTGGTGACCTTTTTCTCCACCAGCTCCAGCTTCTCCTGGGCATCTTGATGGCATCCATGGTGGTGGCGGCAGCGAGGGGATTGGGGTGGCGGCAGCAGTGGGATTGTGGCGGCCGAGTGGGAGTCGACTTGATAATCTTGAACTCCATTTTTTTCCTTTACCCCTGTGAGACTGATGAAACTCTGCTTAACTTCTCTGACTCCTAGTAGCCACTTTGTTTTTGGCTTGTCATTCTCTCAACTCCATGCTGTTTAGGAATTTTCAAATACCTGGAAGGTGAAAGCGGCATATAACGTCAGGCTCACCTCAGTATAGTCTCACTCTCCCTGGGATCTTTGTGTTTTCTTCTTGTTTTTGGCAGGGAGTTTGCTGTGATAAAAATCTATTCTGTCATGCCAGAGGAGTTTGATGAAATAATTCCAGACTACTTGTTTCAGTAGCAATTTGCATTAGCGAATTTGCAGATGATTTGAAAATTTGATTTTCATCATAATTCGTGCGGTAGTTACTAGAGTTACTGTCCCCATTTTACAGTTGGGTATACTGAGACTCAGGGAGGTTAAGTTGTTGGTGGAGTTTGCATAGCTACTGTGTGGTAAACCATCTACTTAACCCTTCCTCAATACTGAAATCCCCTTGCACTGTACCTGACACCATCTAATGGGACCCAAAGTGTGCTCAGGGAACAGGAAACAGCAGTAACTGAAGAAGAGGAACCTGGTGGGTGGTGGTTCAGTCACTCAGTTAAAAGGAAGGCTCTCAATGAAACATGAGTGAAATTCTCTATAAACAAATACCATGTGGATGCAATTATTTGAGTTCTAAGTGACTAGGAAATCCCAGCAGCAAATAAACCTGCTCCACATGCAGCAAACTGGGCCATCACCACGTCCTTCGAGCAGAGGTGTTGAGAAGCAGAGCTGCAAACACCAGCCCTGGTTGAAGAGGTTCAGGGACTGTGGGGTGTTCTCTGGTGGTCAGCTGTTTCTGGGACACCTCTCCAAGTGCAAAGGGCAACGTTGCGGGGTGAATCATGGACTTTCCTTGGCTGGTGTTCAGAGTCTGCAAACAGATTTCACAAGCAGAATACCATTGGGTCTACTTTTCCTGAGATAAGTGCCAACCAACAGGTGAGGAAGTCGACGCTCTGCAGGGTTGTGACATTCTCTGAGACCAGAGCCATACTAGCCTGTGTGGGGACCTGAGCCACAATTGAGAGTCCTTCCCCTGTGCCTGAGTCCCTCTCTGAAAGGGCAACAAAGGGAAGGACCCTCCTTTGGTGTCATTGTACATCTGTGAGGGGAAGTGACCCTCCTCAGGTGACTTCCTGGGTGTCCCTTGAACTTTGCCTTTTTCTGGTGTGGTGAAGAACAGCCTGGAAGAGCTGGAAGCTGATGTGGAGCTGGTCCCCAGGGAGTGTTTGAGGAAGGTACAAGATAATGGGTGAAGGGCACCCTCTGTGATGCCCAATGAAACCCAGGCCTCTTTGACCATCTTTCACATTTTGCTGCATAAGTGCATTTACCGAGCTTGGGGCATTCATCTTAGGACAGGTGGCGCTGTGTTCTCTGGTCACCACTCCTGCCTGGAGCCCCCTCGACTCTGGGTTTCCTTGAATCTGTGTGTGATCTCCTGGGAACTCCTCCTTTGCCCCCATCTCCCCCCCCCCACCCCCTGCTCAGCATGCGGGTCCAAGGCCATGATGGCTCTTGTGAGAGAGATCCTGTGAGAGAGATTGGGGCAGGTGTTGTTGCCCTCAGATGTTCTTACTTCACAGCCCTCATGTGAGAACTCTAGGCCCTAACAGGGAGCCGAGAAGCTCCTTGGTTTCCTGCAGGTGTGTATCCAGGGGGTCATACTTCCATGGCCTCATAGGCAGTTCCTGGAGCTATTAACAAGCCAATCATACCTCCAGACTCACACCTCAGTGTCCTGGGGGTGAGGGTGTGCCATGTTCTGAATTATTTAAGCACTCCTCGGGTATCCTCTCTCTTCAGTGCTCGATGTCCTTTTAAGTAGTAACATTGACCTTGATATCTGTTCACCAAATTACCTACAGGGCAGAATTGTGCCCCTTGGGGACATACATTAAAGTTCTAAGATTAAATTCATAAAGTTCTAACCCCCAAAGTGACTGAATTTGGAGATAGGGCCTTTAAAGAGGTTATTAAGGTTAAATGAGGTCATAAAGGCAGGACTCTTATTTGATAGAATTGGTGTCCTTAGAAGAAAAAGAGACACCCAGAGATCTTTCTCTCTGTGTGTGCCTCTCCGTGTATGCACAGAGGAAAGGCCATGTGAAGACACATCAAGAAGGCAGCCCTCTGCAAGTCAGGAAGAGAGCCCTTATCAAAATCCAACCCTGACATCATGTTGATTTTGGACTTCTCACCTCTAAAGCTATGAGAAAAGAAGTTTCTGTTGTGCCAGCCACCCAGTCTGTAGCACTTTGTTATGGCAACCTGAGCTGATTAACTCACCTCTTAAAAACCTCAAAAACAGAGTTGTCCTTCCTCCACCCTGTATTGGAAAAACTATATGCTCTTTCCTGATTCCTTTTTTTCTTTTTCTTTTTTTGAGTTGGAGTCTCACTCTGTCATCCAGGCTGCAGTGGCACACTCACAACCACTCCAGTGTCGACCTGCTAGGCTCTGGCGATCCTTCCACCTCAACCTTCCAAGTAGCCAGAACTACAGGCACGCTCTACCATGCCTGGCCAATTTTTTTGACTTATTGTAGAGATGAGGTCTCACCAAGTTGCCTGGGCTGGTCTTGAACCCACGGGCTCAGGCAATCCACTTGCCTTGGCCTCCCAAAGTGCTGGCATTGCAGGCTGAGTTTCTTAAAAACATTTTTAATATTATAAAGTGCATCAAATCCACCAACTCAAAGTCTCCCCAAGTTAGCAGAATGAAGGAGAACTTTTGTCTGTCATGCCTGCACATACATAGCACACACACATACCACACCACTCCTGTAACACACACACACACACGTACATACACACAATACACGTCTCTGCTCCCCAAACACCTTACATATCACACATACACAATACACATACCCATACCACACACCACACCACATACACACCACACACATATACCCTACACATATACATCATACCCGCCCATACCCACCTGTACCACAACACACTCACAAACGCTACACACTATACACCCAGACCCATACCAAACATGCCACACCACATTCACACACGTCATACATACACACCACCCACCACACCCCTCCCACACATTCCCGTGCACCCTCCTCCCAGGTATATCCAGCCACATGTGGATAACTGTGGCTTGGCATATGTGTTTGGGATATGATCATGATTAGTGACTGAACACTTCTGTTCTCTGAATCTAGGTGCAGGTGTGGGACACTCGGGGAGGTTCCCTCACTGGCCCACTCAACAGGCCCTGTCTCCTGCACCCACACTTCCTGTGTGGGAATGCCCTACCATAGACTTTGGCAGGGCTCTGGGAGACAGAATGCTGGAGAAGATTCCTTCCTGGGCTGAGACCATTGTTCCTTCCTTCACTCATTCCAGTAGCTGGTTGAATTGTGTCCCCCAAAATGTTAAAATCCTAAACTGGGTTACTTGTGAACGTAACCTTATTTGAGAATAAGGTCTTTGTAGATGTAAATTAGTTAAGAGAAAGTCATACTGGAGTAGGATGGGCTGTAAATCCAATGTCGGGTGTCCTTAAAAGAGAAAGAAGAGGAAGCTTTGGAGACACTGAGGGAAGATGGCCATGTGAAGACAGAGGCAGTAACTGGGGTGATGTAATCACAGGAACGCCAAGGGTTGCTGGAAGCCCCTAGAAGCTGGGGAAAAGCCTGGAACAGAGACTCCCTCAGAGCTTCCAGAAGGTCCCAGCCCTGCCGACGCCTTGTTTTTGGACCTCTGGCCTCCAGAACCATGAGGAAATGTTGTTTTAAAGTCACCCCGTGTGTGGTAGCTTGTTATGGAAGCCCCAGGAAGCAGATACTGTCCCATAGGCATTTCTTGAGCTTCAACCACTGCACTAGGTATTGGGCAAAAGGGACAGCCCTGATACTGCCCTTTTGGGACTTTCAGCCTAATAATCCACAAAAAGATAATGAGATATAACGTGAAAGTGTCTCGCTGTGTTGTCCTGCAAATCCCCCTGAGGAGGGGGGTTGGGCATGTGCCTGTAAATTCTGGCTCACTTGGTGATGTGTCAGAGTCTTGGGACCAAGGGACCTCATGAGGAGCCTGGGCCTCATAAAGGAGCTACCTTGAATGATGGGATTTTTTTCCAGAACAATCTAGAAGGTTGGGGATGGGGGAGGGTGGACAGATGGCTGCCTGCACAAAGGCCTGTGGTTTATGGTTCAAGTTTAATGATATCATCCTGGATATGGTCTGAATCAGCTTTCAGATGGCAGGAGCTCCCCAAGCACTCCTGGGGGGCTGGTTTCTGTTTGGAAGGGCCTCTCTTCCAGCCGCTGCTGCATCCCACACATTCCCAGAGTCTTTCCAAAAGTTGCTTCTAATTAGCCTCACCTTTGGCCTACATGGCCAGAGGCCTAAGGTGGAGTCCACATTCTTACAAAGTGTTTAGCATCATTTAAAAGTGGGAGAGGCCGCCCTTTGATCACAGTTTGAGGGTTACTGGCTCTGGCAATCGTCAATCTTGACAAATTTCTACTTCTTTCTCTCCCTCCTCCCTCCCCTGGACCCCAGGGGCTGCTGCCCATCAGAAAATCCTGGATGAAGGCAGTGGTCTGAGGGGTTGGTCCTCCAGGGTGCCCTGGGCCCACGTGGCTCCTGTCACAGGCTCCAGTTTGTCTCCATGGGCCTTGGCAACCACTGGCGGTTACCGCCTTACAGCCGGTTCGGAAGAATATTGATTTGCACTTGTGCTAACTCCTCCTTTGGCAGGGCCTACCCCCAGAGGTAACTCTCAGAACCGTCTGGTTCCTCTCAAAGAAAAGCACATAAATTGCCTGCAGCATTTTATAGAAGGATTTGAAGCGAAGAATTCCTCTGCCCGGGGGTTGACACCCATCTGAGGGGGGTGCAGGCGTGACCTCCATTCCAGTGGCTGATCTGGCCAGGGGAGTTGTGTAGATGCTGGAGCCCTGGAATGTTCTTCGATTCCAATGACTAGCCTGTGTCTCTCTTGGGCCAGTAGGGGGTGTGAATAGATTAAAGAATTAATGAATGATGGTGGATGGGTGAAGGAATAAAACTTTTCTTCAAAGACTTTGACCACGATGCTTTGGGTTGATTATAGACTTGGGCTTAAGTCCCACCACTGCATTTCCACAGCCTGAAGGCAGTTGCTTGCTTTGAATGAAGTTCTCTAAATGTCTCAAACCCTTCCATATGCACAGGGAGATTTAAAAAACATGTGGTCTTGTGGGATCAAAAATGAAGTGGTTGTGATGTGGTCAGGTGCTCAGAGCTGTGCTCTCTGGGCAGAAGTTGGCTGGGCTTCCTGCACCCGGGAAATATAATGACCAGCTCCAAGGCTCCTGGAATCCTGCTCTAGGGCCTTCAGGAGCCCACATGCTGGTGGGAACCCTGAGGTTGAACATATGCCCCCCACCTCACGCCCTGATGCCCATGATCTGGAACCATTCTTCTGCAGAGCTGGCATTTGCAGGAAGATGAGAACCTCTTGTATCTGCTGGTTCTGGACCTGTCAGACCTCCCAGAGCTTACACTCTGGCCCAGATGGATCCTCACTGATGTCTGCTGGGAGAGGGAGGCAGTCCCCAAAACCCAGAAGCTCATCAGGGGCTTGCTGAGAGACCCCTTTCCCAGTTGCTCTAGGGTCTCCCCAAGGAGCAGGGTGAGGGCAGAACTCAAAGGCATATTGGACTACCAGCCGTGAGCCTACCAAAATAGGCAGTCCCGGTATGCTTGGACTGCAGACCTCCACATGGACCTAAAGTCCTCCTTGGCGCCCACCGTCAGTGGGTGTAGCAGGGGCACATCATTGCCTAGAGTGCTTGTCTACAATTGCAGATCTGCCCAGTGGCAGCTCCTTGGCTACTTTCTTGAATATTTATTCATTTGTATATCTTGGCAGTTGGCATTTTGTGGGGTGTGTGTGTGTGTGTGTGTGTGTGTGTGTGTGTGTGTGTGTGTGTGTGTGTATCACTCTGATTGATAAAACAAAAGTAGATTTGAAGAAATGAAAGTAGCTAGACACCAAACATTGAACATTACTTAAATACTTCTAAAGCAGTACTTTTCTTTCTTTCTTTTTTTTTTGAGTTGGAGTCTCACTCTGTCACCCAGGCTGGAGTGCAGTGGCCACCCCAGCTTCGACCTGCAGGACTCCAGCGATCCTTCCGCCTCAGCCTTCCAAGTTGCTGGAACTACAGGTACGTGCTACCATGCTCAGCTAATTTTTTTTTTAATTGTAGAGATGAGGTCTCACCAAGTTGCTTGGGCTGGTCTCAAACCTGTGGGTTCAGACAATCCACTCACCTCGGCCTCCCAATGTGCTGGGATTACAGGCTGAGCCACTGAGCTCGATCTAGAGCAATACTCTTCAAGCCTTCTCAGCACCATCTGCTCATGGGCCTCAGGTTCCACCTGAACCCAGGATTTTAAGCAGGATAAGACCTCACGGGCAGAGAGGGCAGGAAGGAATCATTTAGCCCTCT